TTTCCCTAAACTTCTCCTCCCTGATCATCTTTTCCCTAAACTTCTCCCTGATCATCCATTCCCTAAACAACTTCTTTCCCATCTCCTCCCTGATCAGCTTTTTTTTTTTTTTTTTTTTTTGGTGGGGGGTACAAGGGCTTGAGTATCAGGGTCACAGGACCACGGAGCCCCATCCCCAGCCCTATCTTGTGTTTTATTTAGAGACAGGGTCTCTCTGAGTTGCTGAGCACCAACCTTTGCTGAGGCTGGCTTTGAACTCCAAAGCCTCTGAGATTACAGGCGAGTGCCACCCAGCCCGCTGCCTGATTTTCTTTTCCCTGGCCTTCTCCTTGCTGATCTCCACTCCCCCTTATTTTCTCTGAGCCACCTCTATAAAAGCCCCTGGGGATGGGCAGAATCACAGCCTTTGGGACTCCAGTCTTTGCTAGCAAAGCAATAAACCTTTTTCCTTTTTCTCAAGATCTTGTCTTGGTTATTGGATTGCCATGGAGGCCCAGGACTCCAGCTTCCAGTTACAGAAGTTGTTAGCACAAAAGGACCTGGCCAGACTCAAACTTCACGGATCATCTCAGCCTTTTATCCAGGAAAGAAGTTTCATGCAGGAACAGGGTGGGCAGGAATGGGGTGATGCTGCTGGACCCACTTTCCTGGTAGAAAATGAGCCACTGAACAAAGGAGGGGACTGGGCTTAATTAAGTCATGAAAGATTTTCCAGGGGGAAGAAGGCCAGTGTGTCATAGAGAGGTTTTTCTGCCCAGAAGAGTCCAAGCCACCCTAAATCTTAATATCTCAAATAATTAACAAGTAATAAAACAAACACTTGGGCTGGGGTGGTGCCTCAGTGGCAGAGCACTTGCCTAGCATGTGTGAGGCACTGGGTTCGTTTCTCAGCATATACTAAAAAATATTTTTTAAAAATAAATAAAACAAAGGTGTCCAACTTCAACTAAAAAAAAATAAAAATAAGTATTAAAAAAAAAACACAAACACTCAAATATATTTACAGACAGCGAAGCCCCTGATAGATCTAGTCGACATGGGTTTTTGAACTAGACAAAGAGAAAATGGCTCCAGTCTTTAGTTAAGGGGGTACATCAAAGACAGGGATAAGGTTTGAGGGGTGGAGTCTTGCTTCCTGATGTGTTGCAATCAACAGGTTGATTGACATCCCAGCAAGTCACCCCTCTCAGGTGATGTGTGGGCCATGGCAGAGCAGGAGAGAGATTCACATTGTCCCTGGGCAATCAACCAGAGGAAATGTCCACTGGCCATTCCCAGACTCCAGATGTCTCTATCCATAAGGCTTCCATGCACATGACCTACATGCATCTCATGAACAGCTTATGACGAGATGACTTACTTAATGAATGTGTCAGAATGTGAATTAATGTGTCAGTTCGGGCACTCAGGAATTTGGGGTCTGTTTTACTGGGTGAAATGGGAGGGGGTCGGGGTCATCAGTAAATATCTGGTAAATATTTATAAATATCAATAAATATTTATCTCACTGGACTGGATGGAGGGCCTGGGGCCAGTGGTTGGTATCTGGAAGGGTTTGTTTAGGAAAGGATCTCTGCTGTGGCCTCTTCCCAGAGACTGTCATTCCAGACTTAATGGATGCTTCCTCCCTGGGGTCTGTCTTGTCACTGGGAAAGGATTAGTGCTATCAATGTATGGCTTTTTCATTCCCTTTTCCCGGGCCTCATTATTTTGGGGTTTGTCATTTTTCCATATCTACTAGAAGGGGAGGAGACAGAGTGGGTGGTGCCCTTCCGACCTGTGGACTGGGGTCTTCCAGGCCAGGGGCAAGGACCCATAGTGAGGTCAAAATAAGGGGACCCTGTGGCAGAGGAGACTGTTGTCCAACTATGGTAGGGGGGCGTTGAAGAAGGTAGTCAAGCCCAAACTAGAGTTAGCCAAGCAAAAAGTGAGGAGTTGTACACAGAGACAGACTGTGCAGAGGGTTAGTTAGGGTATCTGATAGTATTTCACGTGGTGGTGTTACTGAGCTGGGTCCTCCCAGAAATGGAGGCAACCCGAAGACCCCCTTGATTCTTGTGGTCAAGTGAGAGATACAGATAGGGAACTGGGCAGAAAATGGATCCTACTGTCAAATATGACTAAAAAGAACCACTGAGGGGGTGGGGAGGAGAGAGGGAGGATGGGGAGAGAGAGAAAAATAAACTAGACAGAGACTGGAAGTGCTATAAGAACTTGGCTTCTGTTCTTGGGGGTAACAGGGAGCCAGAGAAGATTTTACAGAGGGAGCACATGATCAGCTCATACATCCTTCTAGCTGCTGGGTTCACCAGAGACAGATGGCAGAGGCCAGTGCGAAGGCTGTTGAAAGATTTCAGACCTGTGGCTCAGCGTAATAGGAATGAGCTTATTGAAGAGATAGGAAATGGGAAGGAGATATGTCGAGAGCCATCAGTGGACTATGTGTGAGGACCTTTTCATCATTGGAGCCATTGGAGAGTAGAGCTGGTATTTGGGAACTTACAGTGGCCATCCTACTATTAAGATCACCCACTGCAAGTGAACTCCTGCTCAGCTCTGCTCAAAAAGTTCCCACAGGCTCAGGAGATGGGGTGACTGCTGTAGCTATACTACCTCTCAGAGATGGGTGTGATTGCCAAGATGCCAATCAACCTGTTGACTGCAAGACATCGTGAAGCAAGACTCTACCCCTGAACCCGTATTCCTGCCTTTGATGTACCCCCTTAAATTAAGCCACCAAAGCCGTTTTCTATTTGTTCTGCTCCAGCTCCTGCCAGGACTGGAAGAATCTATCGGCTGCCCTATGCTTTTAAAACTATAATTCTGATTTTGTCTTATTTCCTCTCAATTATTTCAGGCTCTGATTTCTCAGGTAGCTTATCCCCTCCTGCGCAGGAAAAATTACCCTGGGGAAGCGTTGGCCACCTCACGATAGGGATCTCTCAAGAGAGAAAGTGGATCCTCTTAGGAGAGTGACAGTGTGCCTCTCCTGCACTCCAGTGTTATTGGTGATCCCAGAGAAATTTCCAGAGTCCCTCCTAGGTCTACCTCTTTGGCTGACAGCAGGGTGACATCAGACTTTCAAGTCCCCACTGTCATGGCAACTCCAGGTCACCGTGGCCCTTGCTGACTGGTTCTAAGTGTGTTCTTAGCCATATATTCTTACAGATTTTATGGTTAGGAGGAACTGTCCTTATCTCTCAGAAGAATTCCAAATCATTTACACAGACACCGTGCCCTCCAGGATGTTGACCAGACATCCTACCCGCAAAATACAAGCTGCTCCTAGTGCCCGCCTTCTGCAGGGAAGGACAGTGTGGCAAGCAGCAAGAAGGGAGTAACTTTACGGGAAGAAACCTGGGCGCATGCTGCAGCCCGGGGTCAAGGTCCACATCTACGGCATGGACAGCACGCACCTTACAGGATCTGATGCAAAGACATCCTCAGCCTCTGTGGGCCTCCTCCTTGAAGCCCAGAATCCCAGTCTAGCCATGAGGTCTGGGTCTCCGAATGTGCCAAGTCCTCGAGGTCCCCAGACGCCCCCATCCAGTTGTCTGCACCCCGCTCTTTCTCTGCCAAGTGTCTGGGAGGTGGATAAACCAAGATGGAGCCGGCACAAGTGGAGCCGGCCTCTGGCCTGGTCTTCCAGTCACCTGAGCCTTTGGGATATGCTAGGTTTTTCCAGGCAGTTCCTCACAGAAGGTTTGAGGAGTCTCTGGGGAGGATACGAGACCTGCAGGCATCTCTCAAGAGCTTTCAACTTTCCCATTTCCTCAGGAGCCTCTGCCGGAACTGATGGGGTGAGAGTAGAGCAGGGTCTGGGCCTCTCTCGCCTCTGTGCACTGGCCAGAGGCCACCGCCCCCAGGGCCCTGGAGCTCATCTTGGTAACCACAGGGTACCCA